TAGAGAGAACTTGACGATTACTTCACTCCAGTGGCGTGCAGGTAGGCAAAGCATTACATGGTCATCCCACGGGCGAGTGCTATCGGCATGGCCTTGACCTGGCTCAACCGATAGTTGGAATGGTAAACGCTGAAACTCGCTTAAGATACTCTCCGAGGATTGGAAGTCCTCTACGGCTGCTGTGCGTCGGGGGATATTTGCCTCCACTTTTAGCATTTCCGGTCGGGAGAGAACTGATTCAAGTTGCCTTATTCGCATCTTGAGGCTCATGTTCTCTTCTAGAAGCCTCGATGCGGTGCCAGTAGCACTATCGTCTGACACATCTTCGTCCACTGCACTATTATGAGAGGTTAGCCGACTTGAGTACATATGTTGACGAGGAGTCGAGAATCTCGCATTTGAGGAACTCACACTGTGACTTTCCCAGCAACCTTAACAACCTCGCGCATACAGGCAGCAGACTCCCCGCGTTCAATGCATTTGTCACAAGGTATTCTCTTTGAGCATTTCACTTTCCTACGCGTACATTGTATACATGAACGAGGGACCCTCTGAGTCTGTCGCATTTGGGGTCGCATGGTTCCGGCGCAACGAGCACTGTTTCAACGATAAAGCACAGACTCCTGTTCTTGTAACATCAGATTTTAAATCTAATATAACAGTTCTGTAGATTAACGACCCTTGGACATCTTCTCTTCACTAAATGGAGTCTCGGTTGAGTTCGGGTGAGTTTGGTCAGCTGACCGCAGTCCGGCCAATCATATTTGAATTTTCTGATTTCGCCCTTGGATACGGATGGCAATTAAGGGACAGTTTTAAAGTGTGTGCATTAATCTTTACCCACAAGATTTCTGGCTTTCCTTATTGGCGCCCAGAAACGTTGAAGTTATGCATGACAGCCACCACCTTTCATCTAGCGCTAATCGGCAATTACCCCAAGGCTGGAAATACTTTGTTACTAGTATTGTTATTTGAAATCCTTCAGTCCGTATAGCTTCAATAATCGATAACTTTCGTTTGAGAACATGTAAATCCTCTCTTGAATGTCTATAAATGCCATTTGCGACCATAACCGAAAGTTTTGATGCCATATGCCGATATCAAAAGAACATAGTTCATGTGTTACAACACAAACTAAAGATAATGTCTAAAACATCATCGCCAACGCCAAAGCAAAGGAAAATATGGCAGCGACCGAACCAGGCAGCTCCCTAGGAGCCAGACTAGTCTTAATCATGAGCTGCGGCTCGTAGTTCTCCGGCTCCGTACTGTTTATCGTTCCATCCCAGCAGTAATCCTTAAAGCACTTAGAGCAGACTTCAGGCAGAGTAGTACTGGTCCGTTCAGCGGAACGAGAAAGGATGGCACACCCCACACACGACGGCCAGTTGGCATCCTCCGTACTATTTCCACGAGTGACAACATTATAACCGTTCGTGATCATGTCATCACGGTCCTCATAACTGTAAGACAGGTCGAAGGTGGACGTATTAGAAAGGTATGTATAAGGAGCATTTGGAAGATAGACAATCAGCGGCGCAGGCCCGGTCAGGTTCTTACTATCGCACCCGAAAAAGGTCGGACGTTTATTCAGTCCTAGGTTGATGAAGGTATTGGGATCGGGGACCGCAGGGAACACGGTTCCGTTGCTGACAGTCGAGCTCAGGCTTCTTTCATAGGTGCGCACTAAGGACTTGCCAGAAGGCCAGTTGTGGATATTGGCTGTAGAATCCACGGCGAAGATGACGTCGACGTGGCGCTCTGGCTGGATCAAAGGGTGTAATGGAATGTTTTGCCCGTCTTCGCCTCCGTCTACGACACTCAAGTGGGACCGACTAGCGATATTTGGCGTAGCACCGGTATATTCATAGAATGGGTTAGGGTAGTTCGCAATATCATTGTTGTCCTGGCCTAGATCTTCGAGAATACTTTCCATGGCCGATTTGAAAATCTTGGGAATCTTTGTGCCATTCAATCGTAATAACCCTTGGTTGAATAGAGAAGACGAGGTACCCATGATATAGCCAGTATTGTCGAAGCCCCGAACACATGACCCATTACTGGATATCTTGCCACCTTTGAAGTCGGAACCCAGATACTCTAATGGTGCAAAGCTATAGATAGCAGGATCGAAGGTACCAAACTCCCAGGGATTGAACTCGTACACGGTAGAATTGCTACCAACGACTAACTCACCGGGGTTTCGTCCGTCCGCGACCAGGATGGGCAGAGGGGTTTGACCTCGTTGGAAATTATCCATCAAAGCAATCGATGACCAGGTGTAATCCGGACCCCCATTGCTGGCATTGATAAACTGGTAGGAGAGTGCGCGGCCCCAATAATCTGTAAGGGATGTGTTGAATCCCGCCTCTTTCTTAGTTTTTACTGTGTCCACTAATTCAGTCCAGTAGTCGACGGTTTTGAAAATCTGGAAGTGTTTCACGTCCGGACCCTCTAAAATGTTGTTTCTTAGGTCCCATGTATTCTCAGTCGTCTGGAGATCATTGATGGTGGTGAAGTTGTTGACAAAGACAGATCCTACCAGCCATCCACCTCCACTTAACGCTGAAAGGTAGGTGGCGGATTGCAAGAGGCCTCCCAGTTGACCCGAAGCAGTCGAATTAGTGGTTCGACTGTCAAAGGCTTTAAGGGCTCCAGCACCATTCAGCATGGCGCGATATCCACCACCGGACACGGCAATCCCCACGTTGGGCAGATTGGACGTGTTCGTAGACACTCGGTCGATATAAGCTGATGCATCGAAGTTGGTCAAGTTCAGACGGCCGAGCAAATTCTTTAGGGGCGACACAACTTCCTTTCGGCGCGACTCGAGCCAGTCCGTTTCATTCTGGGATAGCTTGGATGCACTGCGAACTGTAGGTTTCACAGCAGGGCAAGATACATTTGCAGGAGCGTATTCATCAGGAGCATTCGGCAAAGCGCGTAGGTCAAGACTCGGGGCTGCACTGGCCAGAGCAGCCCCTAGCAGGAGGACATTCAATTTCATATCGTAGGTGGAAGTTCAAGGAGAATATGGGACAGCATCGAGATCAACGGTTCTGTGCCGCGTAGAGTACATTGTAAGCGTTCGCCAGGTGGCTATTACTTCGTTTATGGCTATGTTTGTGAGGATTCTGTTTCGGCCCCATTAGGCAACCACAAAACCCTTCTGAGCCCTGACGTTGGCAGGGATTCAGCCTTATGGACTGTGGGAATGTTTCATTGAATTTCCGACTAGCGGGTCTCACTATTGAATTAGGCGACCACATAGCACATACCTTACCCTATTAAGCACCGTGGAGTTCCACACCTGGGCAAAAAAACGGGGCCTTCGCCCCATGGAACTCCCAGGGAATGGTCTTGTTTTAAGATTCTGACTAAATGATTCCTTCTAGCTCCGCGGATGTTCAGGTATCCATCAGACCGCTACCCGCGGGACCCGCATTCCCATGGATAGTGGTAATCATTGTGAGAGATTTAGTTGTTCTTCTTATAGAGTTTCTGCTCGGTAGAAGATAGTATATCCATTATGTTCCTAATTCTATTTAAATCAACACTAAAGAGACCAGCAGCAACTAATAATATCAAATCAAAGTGATATTTTTCTCCTCACCATGCCACAAGCCCAGGCTTCGACATACTTCAGTCGCACCTTTCACGCAAAAATATCTAATTCGGACATAAGAATCTGGACCTCGATCTGGCAGTCATCTTGCAATTAAACCGTACAGATTTTGATTGGATTCCACTCTGCATAAAGCGATGACTTCACAGCTATCACCCTCCTGTAGTTCATCATTTGGATCGTCTATAATCCACCAAAAGGAAACGTTATACTCATTACACGATTTGTAATCTTGCAACTTAATAGGTTGGCCGGAAGGGACGGGAACACCACCAGTCCACTGTGCTTCTGCTCAACAGGCTTGAAGTATCAAACTTGCAGATACCACTTGTCCATAGGGATTTGCGTTATTCACAAGATCCAAAGTAAAACCCACCATGTCGGCAATTGACTCCGTTGAATAGAGTGCTACTGATATTAATGGTATCTGGATTTCACCATCTATAGAGGCCCAGCTCCAAGATGGTGTCTTGATATGTCGTTCATCTTCTAGCAAATGTCTGTCTCTTCTTCGAGGACGGCTTTCCGGGTAGATAATGACTTGCCATGGTAAGCTCTGGGGTAACTGTTTCCAAAGTGACCTGCAATATACTCGCTATTAATAAAGGCTGCCATTCTTTTTGCCATTGCTGAAAATGCCACTAATCTATCTTTTGCGGGAATGTCAGACGGCGGCTCGTATACCGCTGTATCATTCCGTTCCAGAAAAACTCTTGCTCGTGAAGCTCTGACAATCTCTAGATTATTTACGGATCCAAAGCCATCTCCGAGCCTAGACTGGATACACCATAACATCTGGTCTTTTGATATTAATAGGATAAGTGTTTACTATAGTAATCGTGATCATGACTATTAGCATGCTTTCTCTCTACACTGTGGATCACTATATACACTTTAGCATATCAACATACATGTCCTGGTAACAACCACGTGAACCTTTTCGTTGGTTTGCCCAGTCATGTAGGAGAACGTCCAGCATCTCCGTTTTCTCACGCTACGCCCTTACTTCCGTCTCAGAAGTCCTTGCTAAGACAACTTCGAAGATAATGGCAATCGTAGCTTAGAAGGTGGTCATCTTATGACTTTCTCTATTGAAATATCTTTTCTTGGTCAAAAGTCTGTGGCTCTCCTTGGGAGCCCTGAGAAAAGATGGAATATGGAGCGATCCTTCTAGCATTCAAATTCCAGAAGGATGTACGTCTAAATAAGAGCTACAGCGACGAGGGCTCCAAGCAGACCGGAGAGGCATCCACCCGACATAGTAGTAAAGTACAATCAACGATATGAGGCAATCAACAACCCTAGCTCTGTTATAGCAAAGCTGCCACTATCTAGACCTCCAAAATGAGTCTATGCTGCAGGAACAAAAAGAACACGCCCAATGCGGGGCTCGAACCCGCGACCTTGAGATAGCAGACTTCTATACAGATAATCTAAAAGTCTCACGCTCTTCCAACTAAGCTAACCGGGCATTGGATAGTGATGTCACAGTATAGAACGCTACCAGAGGGCCAGGCCGCGGCGTCGATAGATTCAGCTTTGTAAAGCGGGCTCCTAGTCTAGGTGGGAAAAAAAATCATTTGCAAAGTGGGTCTAATAGGACGGAACGGACTTTCCCAACAGCAACAATGCAGCTGTGGGCACGAGAGATATCAACTGCAACGGGATATACATGAAGCGATATGGGGAGACATCATTAATAGGCATAATGATTAACTCAGCCTCTGAGTTATGTAAATACGTAGGCACATGGTATCTACCATGGGATCGATCTGCGCAAAAAATGAGAATGTTGGATCATGAAGAAGGGGCGTCTTCAAACCCGCAGCAATACCGCTTCACAGCATGAACTAAGAGAGTACATGCAGTTCCAGTACCACAGCAAAGTTATAGGTACCATGGTGGCGAGAGGCATGAATGATAAGGTAGAGAAATAATATTTATGGAAGACTGCCCGAATTGAGAAAAAATTTATCGGGAAAACAAAAAGAGGTCGCCCGATAGGGGGCTCGAACCCCTGACATTGGGATGGCAGAATGACCTAAAAGTCCCACGCTCTACCGACTGAGCTAATCGGGCTAATTGATTAGTTGGCTCATTTTCGACGGCATTATCAGCTAACAAAAGAATGATTAGAATGTACCTGGGTATGGATCCAACTTCCAAGCTCAAAATTTGGCCGAAATGCCCGCAAAAGATAAACCAGCACATCAATCCCATGCCTTTGGTCTAGGCGGTACGTTCAAGGAGGCTTTACTTGATGAAGCAGAAAGCAGCCAAGAAAAAGATGGAGAATAAGACACACAAACAGTTGGAGGCAACGGTTCCTTAAAAGTTCAAGGCAGTAGCAGGCGCTGAAGTTAGGAGGTGACATAGGTAGTACTGGTATGCCAATCTCTCAGGAATAGGCCTTCTTGTAGAGGGAATCTCTCGGTTTTATATGGTGGTCTAATGAAGGAAGTGGGTTCATTGCCTGACAATTTCTCAACCCCTGCTAATGCTTTGCGAATTGAAATCACACACGATACCCAGCTGTGATCTTAGACACGAGACGCGATAAGATACCTCTGGATAACCACTTCCACCATTTAGGAGTATCATTTTGTCATAACTGGGCTAATAATCGCGAGGCAACGGACTGGACAGCAATATCGGGATGGGTGTTTCTTCCGAAGTTTGGATAGAATGTCTCAGCAAACAGGATGGGTTGAAGACGGACAGGGAATTGATATCCATGACACGTTAACGAATAAGACTCTCCAAGTCAAGACGATAATTGATAACTGATAAATGATTCTACCAGTATCCGTGTAGGTTACGCTTAAACTAATATATATATATATATATATATAATTTGGTCAAACCTCTATTTCACGTACTCGTCGGATTGTATAGAAAATTGAAAACCACAGTATCAGCCTTACTCGTATCGTACCTATAGATTTAATGAGCTATGGGCTTTCGAGCCCTTTATGGTATATCCTATCCTGTACGAGTCAATAGAGCCAAAAATGTGTATAGCAACACAACATAAATGCACCTGTAACATGTAGATCACTGACAATGGACCACTCAGGCACCTCCACCAGACCCACAGTGGGGATCCAACGGATAAGCTTCACCCCTCCATCAGAAATTTTTTTGATTATACAGACTGTTGTGTTTACAAATTCAACAACACCATAATAAAAAAGACTTTGACATACTCTCCTTTTTTATCGTGAAATAGCGTACATCATACAAAACACCATAATGAACCCATTACGCTACTTGGCGCCCCCGCGCCCATTCACAGACATTTCCACCTCCACAACCAAAGAAATCAAGGAAAGGATTTGCTATGTGGACGCCATGAAAGCGAACCCTCACTTCAAGATTTCCGAAGATAGAGATGAAGCTCTCTTTGACTACCTGGAATCCTGCCACACGTTGACCAATGGCTCTCCCACCAACGAAGAGCGCCAGGCCGCTCAAGCATGCATCCGGGAATATGAAAAATCGCTCGAGAACAACGAGCCAGCCAGACTGTCCTTTGATCTCGCGACCAAAGTCAAACTAGGCGAAGAGCTTGACAATCTGTGGAATATGTGGTTATTTAACAGATATGAAAAGTACCTTCCTGAGGACATAGCCAAGGCGGCTAAGAGTCATCCTTCGTCTCAAGTGTCTGATCCCTGGCACAAGGCATTCTGGACACCTTTCAACGGACGTCTTGAAGCGGAGAAGGCCTCCTTCGACAAGGTCTTGGTAGGCCAAAATTATCATAACGACTGCCCGACTTTCCTTCTGCTGGCGCTCCTGTGTGAACGCCACTCGCTTGATTGGGATGAGACCCTTCAGTTGATCAAGGCTTGCGCTAGCGAAGGTGACAAGGTCGATCTCCCCGCGGTGGATCTTGTCGACTTTCTCAAGAAACGCGATGTGGCTGGCCTAGCGACTAGATTGGACCGTGATGAGGCGAGTATCTCGCTTTCGACGGAGTATATTATGGGAGTTGGATCGTTGGTCTTGGCTTTCTTCGCTACTCATCTTCCGGAAAAATTCTTCAACAGAGATGAGGAGACTGACCCGGCGAATTGGACGCCAACGGAGCCCTTGCAGATCCTTTTCGATCTCGACGAGGCACATCTTGAGAAGACCTTTCGGTTCATGCTGCAGGAGATGTTCCACAAGATGGCCGATGGCGACTCGGATGATGATGATGACGACGATGATGATGTTTACGATGATTGGGACAATGATGATGACTCTGAAGATGACATTGCTATGAGTGATGCATCTGAAGACTATTAGCTGTGCTAAACGGATGCTTTTGCTTCCTAGTTTGTTAGTTTTGAAAAAAGAGCCATTTGTATATAATACCATCTGTGCTGTCAGTTTCCGTTAAATACCAATTTACCACTGTCTCCGCCATTGTCCACTACCTTATGGAGGTTAAGTTAGCAATCCGCAATATCTCTCATTCAAATTAAGCTACCACGCCTCTCCAAGTACCGATACCGCAGGAGCAACGAGAAGAGACAAGAAGGTCAACATCCACCGATATCCACACTCCCATCCCAACTCTGCCTGCCCATCACATCGACCTGGTTATCTCAATCCCGTACAGACCTTCAACCCATCCCCAGATCAGTAACCCTGCCCAGAGAAAGACCCAAGAGTGTCAGACTCACCTAGACCACCCAGCACGAGCAACTCAGATCCGGATGCACGCACGAACAAGTGTACGTGGCTTTTCCCTCCGAGCAATTGCATTTTTTCTGCTTGTTGCAAGTACCATGGCAATACTTTCCGCGTTGCTGAGGATCAGATATAGTTAGTAAGATGCCAAAAGCCCTCTACATAGTGGGATTCCGCCGTGGATAGAATGGCCGAGCCAAACGTACGAAATGCTCGTCTTCAGCTGGAGCGGGAGACTTTTGAGCTCCAGTCTCGGAGGCATGCACGGGACTAAAAGTGACGCTATTGGTGGTGCCGGGGAGGGCCATGACGGTTTGGATGGAGAACATGAATATGGCGAGGAAGGTGATGAGGATCTTGAAGGTGGTCATGTTGACTGGAGATGGACTTTTATGTCAAACTAAATTGTGGGTTGGTTTTGTGTAAGGGTGATTGTTCAATGGAAGTTGATGGTGAGCAGGGGAAGAGAGACTTTGGGACCCGGTCCATGATGGTATACTTATACCTCCTATTGTAGAAGGGATGGAACTAAATTGGCTCACTAGAGTGTGCACTGAGGCATGAAGAGTTAATTCCAGTTGGTCCCATACAATCTTACATACGGTAGACTATGTTCCCCACCGAATAAGGCATGTGCACACTTAATACGCTCAGGGGTTAATTAACAGTAGATGGGGTAGATACTTATATTATTACCAGTTCCGTATCAAGTCAAGCCTAGGTAATGATCGACTGAGTTAGGGCACGGTGTGGTTAAGTGTGGAAGCAATGATTCATCATAACAGGGTTCGGGGCAATTGAGACAAAGGTTCTTTTCTGTACCAAGCGCCTTGTAAGATTGCATCTCACAACCACTAGAATAGAGTTGGTAAAGGGAAAAATTAAGTTTCATTATTTCAATGGCTAGTGCTATGGAATATCGTAGTCCTTTGCTCTAAAAGGATATTACTACCACTCAACTCCACACTTCTTCATTTTTGTTACAGAATTTGATATAAAATACGAATATCTATCCGACAACGGACACAAGACTGTTCTTTCAAAAGCAGCATATTACATGTTCGGGGGACACAAGTGAAACGAAAGGATGGATCTCTCGACTGTAAAATGCACGCAGCTCGAAGTCACTAGACAGATAACCGAGTATTGCATTGTAGCGTAGCCTCAATAACTAAGACGGCTCTTTCAGACCAATGCAGTCTTCACGGGCGATTTCACTAATCGCCGAATCGGGCTTTTCTAATGGACATTGGAGCTGCTAACACTATGTGATCTGCAGCAGCCATTGCCAAAGTGAAGAGATCCTTCGCTAGTAATTTAACCTTTCCTTAATGCACCGAGTAATTGTCGATTCATGTCAACAGGGCAATGCCGACCCCTAATTCCAACTTGTTTCACTTCTAAGGTTCCGGCATGTCACTTCCCCCCGGAATTACTCTGCGGTGTTGTGTTGAATGTGTCTTAAGGTTGAGTTCATATAGGTCTGTGGCGCCGCCCTCGACTCATAAAGACCAATGGATTGAGCAGCTGTTCTCACTTGTTCATAACGCCCGACGTCCTTTAGGGTATTGTTGATTTCGGGCCAAGTTGTACCTTTTGATCGTCAAACATATGGTATTGGTAGTTATCAATACGTTCTTTGGATATGGTATTTTACCTTGCTAGCTCTTATTGAGGGAGGACTACAGAATGTAACAGGTGACCGGATGATCTTCCATTAGACATAAGTCATCGCTCGATAACGCCTCTTTCCTGCCTGGTACTAACCTGTAGTACTAGGCCCAGCATATCGAGAGCGAATTTTAATTATAAGAAAACGCTAGCTAAGCAGAAAGTTGCTTCACTCTAGATAATCATCACTTCGGAAAACGAGCTTCCCAGAATAATCACAGGTGAGCCAAGACAGCCTCGGCACCCGACACCTACCCAATCAGTTAGCACCAGCAATTGGAAACAGCACAGGAAGAAAACGCACCTTAACAACACCCTTCTCAGTCTCGATCTGAGCGTAAGTCACCTTGCCATGATCAATGACAATAGCATAGCGACCGGTGCGACCGTTGTTGGCCCAGCCGATGCTGTCCGAGAACTTGGCGTCGGGGTCGGAGAGGAACAGCTGCGGCAATCAGTATCTTGGAATAGAATGTCCTTGTAAACCACCATGGAAAAATACATACAATGTCATCACGTTCCACCTTATTGGCCTTTCCCCAGGCGCTCATGACGAAGGGGTCATTAGATGCGACGACAGCGACGACCTGGACACCCTTTTCCTTCAGCTGGGGCAGGTTCTGGATGTATCCGGGAACGTGGTTGACGGAGCAGGTGGGGGTGAAAGCGCCTGGAATTGTACGGTCGTGTTAGTTTCAATATATCGATGAGTGAGAGAGGTGATAAAC